TGGGATGAGAGCACACTGTCTACCATCGAGTGAGCCGTGACCAAGGCTCCGGTTTGACAAGGAGCACTTGCAGATTACTGGCTTCTTGGCAGAAAGGCAGACCTTGCCTTTGCAGCCCATGCGCTTTCCTTGTCCCCGGACCGGCAAACCGAGCTTCGGGTTTGCACTTACCATGCCAAGCGCAGAGGTGGCGTGCTCAATGCTACGGTGGTGGGGCAGACCTGGTGGGCAGATCGGTTGATCAACAGTGGCCCTGGCCCTAGACTCCCACTAGGATGTTCGGTTGTTGCAGGCCCGGTGCCAACGTCAAGTCTCTAGAATTGATTCCGCCGCACTTGCCCGGAAACAGAATTAAAGCACAATCTTCCAGATTCCGAGGCGCTGTATCAAGTTGCCAACATGGCTTTGGCGGAACAGTGGGCTACTAGTCCCCCCTCCCAAGCTGCGCCAAACTAAGAGCCGCCGGAGGTCTCAAGTTCAAAATGAACGAGTGGTGGGACTGGGAGGCGCTGTGGGTCTGGCGGTTTCAAGGGAAGCCAAAGAGGGAAGGGGTGCACTCACCAATGCACATTGAAGGAACAGACAATGTTTACCTGCCAGTATGCGCCACATGTTCCTCAACCTGTCTTCAATTTGTTTGTATTTGTTTTCTGCCTTTTTTATGCAAGATGTTTGCCTAGTTTGGTGGACATCCTTTTTCTTTTAAAAAAGGGTTCCTGATGTTGGCAATGGCGTTTCTAAACGTCGACCTACACGCTGCACCACACCTTTAAAATTTCCCTGGGAAGTAGCAGACGCCGTGAATCGCTCAAATATTTCCGGGTTATTTGATGTAAGCAGTGATCGAATTGCTTCATACTCCAGCCGAAGTTTTTGCTTGACAGCCGCTGTTTGGGCTGGATGTTCAATCCGATTTTGCGAGATCGCCTGGTGCCAGCCTGTTCAGAGGGCGGTCTGATGGAAGTGGCCTGGCCCGAGTGCAAAGCTTATGGCATCACGTTGCCGTTCCAAAAACATCCCGGGAATTCCGGGAAATTCCAAGAGGTTTACGCTATGGGATGCCAATCTGGTGTTCATTGTTTTTGTGCCCTGTCTTTCATTGTTTTGTGGCCCATTCTTCCAGGATATGACTCCGCCGCCTTTCTGAGTAGGCGAGAAACTTCTTTCAACAGGTGCGTTTTGCTGCGCTCCGAATCTGGGAGCTCCATTCTGGGCGGCGCGGCACAGATGAAAAGATGCACCGAATCTTTTGCGTTTCGCACGCGTGGAGAGGCCCTCATGGTCTGGTGCTATACGATGCGCGACAAGAATGTGCTTCGACCCGTGGGCGTTGGTGTGGGACAGCTTTTGGTGCATTCAACGGGAGCAATTGGCATTTGAGCTTCCTTGGAAGCCAAAACCCAATTGGGTCCGTTTCCATTTTTGCAGCCGCCATAGTTGCGTTGTTCCTGCAGCTTGGCTCGACTGAACCATCCATGGCTATCCGCGAAACGAACCGTGGCCAGGAAACATCATTTGGCCATGGATGGCGGGCGCCAAGAGGCTGGGAACTTCAAATCACAAGCAGCAGGGACAGTTGTAAGTTGTGAGACTAAGAAGATTGCTTACAGACAGACTTGCCGTTGCTATTGCTCTTGCTGTTGTTGCCGTTGCCGTTGTTGCTACTTGTGCTGTGCAGTGGTGATGCTGCGGTTGTGGTTGTCGCTTTCTTTGTTTCTGTGGTTGTTATAATTATTGTTGTGATTGATTGGCTAGCGGCGTGCACATGTAGATGCACGCCCGCCCACACGCACGTAAACGTAGCGCACTTCCGCGCAGGCGAGCAGGTACGCGCGCGTGCACGCACGCAGAGAGGGGCGCTCCTTGTTTGCGTGTTGTTTGTTTGTTTGTTTGTTTGCGTTGCAGAGGGTGCTCAGCATTTGCGGCCTTGTTGCCATTTCTATTGCCGTGCTGGTTGGTGGCATAGGGATGAAGCTTCAGTGTGTCCTGATGATCAAATGCTTGGCTTTTGGCACATTTCTAAGGGCGCAAGGAGTGCGCTCCTGCTTCTGACACTTCTGAACATGCTACCTGACTGCACCCAAGGAACTGGACAGAGAAGCCATCGTCGATAGGACAACTCTTGTACCATTCCTCGCACTGATAGACCTTGTGCCGCACCTCTCTGCGATATGTTGATTCATTTTTGAACAGCTGAGAATGCATCCCTGTGGAATGTTGGCACATGGGAAATGCAGCAAATGACTTCTCACCTTCGCTTGGTTCTGATGAGTTGGATGTGGGGATTAGAACCCCTGCCTTTTCTTGCACCTAATTACCTAATTTGGGAACCGCTCACCGAAAAGGTTGAGCTCATGTTCGGCCTGAGGTTTCGATGCGCTGACCACTCCATTCTGATCCCATTGAAGTCTTTGCTGCAGGAGAAGCCGAGTGGGTCCAACGGTTTTAGCCGGCCGATCTCCAGAGGGTCAAGTGTGGATATCAAGCCCTTTTGATTCGCCACGCGGAAAAAGAGGGAGGAGGCACCCGTTTTGAGTACTCCCTGGATCTCTGAATCAAACTGGGAACGCGCCGTTGCCTTTCAAAAACACAGGAGGCACTCGACATCGTCTTTGCAGAACCCGGAAACCACCACCACAGAGGTGCACCGAAAACGATTGCACGCATGTCTTTGCTTGTTTGTGAGGGCCCCGCCTCGGGTCGAGTGCATCCATCAAGTGAGAGTTATAAGAAGCTTTTCTGAGTCTGCGAACTCGATGATTCTGGTTAGCTCTAAATGGCTTCATCACAAGCCCGCCGAGCTGCAAGGAAATGCCGAACAGCACTACTTTTAAATGGTTTGTTGGAGGAGGATTTGCACCTCACGGACGAGCAGAGTGCCTGGCCAAACACGGTGTCCATGGTGTCCATGATGATCTTCTCGGTCGCTTTTGCCCTGCTTCTGGCCGAGGCGAAGGGTCGAAGCTCGAAGTTCGTGTTTCCCTTTGGCTGAGGTGCAAAAGGCCGATTTTGCCGTTTCTCTGCAGCCCGAAAAGGGTTTCTCTACCTCTCCAAAGTAAACGTGGGTGTCCTTTTGGTCTTTGGTTTTTGGGAGCACTGAAAAAGAGGAGCTTCCCTGATGAAGAGGGAAAGCCCCATTTCCACTTATCCAGTGACAAGGGAAACAGGTTGTGAATGCTTTTTGCAGGATTTACTGCTTTTTGGGGCTTCTTTAAGGGTGGGTTTCTGGCGAATGCTCAACAGGCTAAAGTTAGGGCTTCTCCTTTAACCCCGCGGAGTTCTGCCGAGGCAGTTGGAGTCGTGGTTTCAGTGTGAAACCTGGGCCAAGATCCCAAGTTTTGGCATACCCGTCTCTCGTTTCAGAGTTGGCTCCTTTGATGGTCAATCATTTTGATTTGGGGCCTAGCAGTTACACGATCACACGAGATACATTTTGGCCAGGGCAAGCTGAATCGGCGTTTCATCCTCACCTTGGCCCTGGTCACATGGTCTGCGGCTTGGCGTCCCAAAGCGGGATGGCTCAAACTCTCATGTGTGTGTGTGTGTGTGTGTGTGTTTGTGTGTGTCTCTCACTCTCTCTGCCTCCCTCTCTCCGTTCCAAGGTGAGAAGGGGCACCCTCAAAACAAAACACATGGGGTGTTGGCATGTCCCCATTTCACTGCTTACCCATCTAGCCAAGGCCGCCACCTGCATGTGTGCAGCTGCTACTGGTCTGAGGAGCCTGTGCTTGCTGCGGGTTTTCGCGCCTAGGAGAGGATTCATTTCGACCCGGTGCAGCCTTGCACGGGTCTAAGAAATAGCACAAGGGCTCATCCATAGACTCAGTTGCCCAAAGCGAATCGACCTTTCGGTTTTCCCATGGTCCATGTGTGGTCAAGGTCCCAAGAGGTCAAGCTTCTAGTTCCAGGTTGTTTGGGTAAGTGAGTACAGCCTGCCGTACTTTCATGCTTTGCAACTGAAGGTGGAGGACCAACATACATGTCGAGCTACATGACTCCACACGATATGGAGTATGGCCACACCGAGCCAGAATGAGCTGATGAGACTTTCGAGTGCTTCTTGAGGAGCATATCGGTCTCCGAATGGGGAACCCGAATGGGTGGCTTCCCGGTTTCCCTTGATTTCCAGTCAAAAAAAAGCCAACAACCCAAAAAGGGAAACCGCCAAAACGAGACACCCATACCGCGGTCTCTGCGCAGGTGGGGCTCGGAGATGCAGCGTTCGTCACCGTGCCTTTGCTGAGTTAGGACCAAACGTTGCCAGCAGTTTTTTTTCTTCTAGTGCAATGCTCGGGTGGGAGAGATAATGAGCCTTGGGGGGATCAGTAGGTTTCCTTCTTTTGCTTGGCTTTGGTTGCAATAGGTACGCTGGTTGATCAGTTGGCTGGTTGGTGCGGACATTCCGTTCATTTGTTGTGCGAGATGTTTGTTTTAAGACTTCTGAGGATTCTGATGGCTTGCCTTCTAAGGATCAGGCAAAAACAAAAAATCGGCACAGATTTCCGATGCTTTCAGTGGCCGTGTGCCGCTGTTGCAGCCTGCTTCTCGCTTCTCGCTCCCCAGTTTTCAGGGGAGTACTGCTGGCAAGACGCTTGCAGGCCTTTGTGCTTCGTTTTGCTTGTTACACGAATCCTCGGACAAGGCGATGTGTGTGTTTTCAGGGTTTCTTGAGAGAGTGCTTCAATCCTCACTGAATGAGACTGAATGTCAATTTTCCCGCCGTGACCGGTCAAGATGTAGTTGCACAGAGGAAAGGAGCGATCGTGCTCTTGATCCTAGCCCCGTTCTTTTAGTCGTTTTCTCAGGTAGTGCCTTCGCTGATGGCAGACTTTTACCCAGCTGCTGACCGGCCTGGCGTGTTTGCGTATCTTGGCAAGCCTTAGCGGAAAGCAATCTTTGCAGCGAAGCCATGCGGTGCATAGTTTCGTGGTCTGGGGCTGACTTCTTGCTTGGCTTTAGATGAGAGGTCCAGCTCAGACATAGGGGTTGATCAATATTCTTGGCCCCCTAAATGAACATGGGTAACTTTTGCCCTTTGGGACCATATCAAACCTTTTCAGTAGTTTTCAGCCACTGGTCATCCCGTATATATCAAGGACCTCTTGATTAAACCCCACAAGTGGCGGGTTTTTGCACGGCGCACCAGGCTCCTCACCATGGGGGAATACCTGGGAGGAGCCGCCGGAGTCAGTTTCAGGCACCGAGTGTTTGTTGCGAGTACGATATGAGCGCCAGAGATGGAGTTTTGGTGGATACTTGAAACATATACCACAGTTCCCTGTTGTTCCATCTAAAGAGACTTGGCGAGTTGCCAGTTCAGGAATGGCCAGAGATGCAGAGACATAGGAAATCAAAGCAACCAATCCAAGGATCCAAAAGGGTTCCGATTCGAACATTTTGAGTCAGTGATTCAGACCCCGCGGATCGAGAGGAGCTCTTAGCTTCGGGCTCTCCGGGTTCATCGCCGAGCGCACCGGCTGGAGGGTCCCTGTCTTATCCGTTTTGGGGGGTGGGTGGGTGGGTTTAAAGAATTCCCAACGAGGAAACCTATGATTTTCCTCCGGGTTGCAGATTTTGAGAGAGACCCAGAATTCCCCTTTCCTTTGGTGCTGGCAAATGCGGTCAGAGCGTGCACGCCCTCCCCCGCGTCGCTGGGTTCGGGTGAGCCCAGGTTGCCGTGCTCTGCCTGGGCATCATGTCCTTCCTGTGTGCAAACCTGCAACACAACGTGAGAGCTCCATGGCAAAAGTCACTCGCAGAGACGGCCGGTTTTGTGGGCCGGATTTGCTGAGGAGCCGAAGGCAGGTATCCATGACTTGTGCAGCGACCAGGCGCGATTGGCGCGATTTGCCACGTGCAGGGAGTCATTTCAGCACTGCAATTCCCTGGTGATAGCTTCTTTCCGGCATTGCGAAGATGTTAGGGCCCCTGATTCTGAGAAACATCAGATTGAGCGGTATGCAGCCAGCCCCAGCAAGCTGGCAACTTGTGTATGAGACGTCTCTTGGCAGGACTCCGCGCTGCTTGACCGATGCTTCGCTGCATGCCGGCTGCATGGAGTGGGCGTGGGTCAGAAATCCATCAGCTCCTTGAACTCCCACTCGGAGCCGTCGTCGGAGTCACGTTGGCCGGCACCCCCAGGGCTTGGAACACCTTCTTCATGCCCGCCGCGGTGTGCTCGCAAGACGGTCCTTCAGCGGCTCCGCGGCCACTTTCTTGGTCAGCGCATCAATGGCCACCAGCATGAAGGGGTAGGGCTTGCCCCCGAAGGCCTTCATCGGCCAGGTCCACCTGCAGCTGGTTCATGGGCTCCAGAGGCACGAAGCTGTTGTAGCCTCTCTGCGGCCTCCGGCGGGGGGCAGTGGCACCTTATGCTGGCCGACATCTTAAGCCAAATCACGGGAGGAAGCACGCTACCACGCAGGTGGCGCCGAACCTCGCCTACTCGACCCCGAAATGGCTGAGATTGCTCTGCAACATCGAGCGCAGGGCCAAGCACAAGGGACCCGCCCGGAAATCAAGGTCGGGGATTGGTTCGGATCAGGTTAAGCCGATCGAAAGCAGGGGCTCCTACAGTCAACGAGATTGCCTGGAGCGAAAAGGTATACAGGGTAGCCCCGCCGAGAGCGGGGAGATGATGGGGGCGAGGTTTGGCTTGGAGGGGTGGCCGGAAAAGGTGGCGCACAGGGATCTCCGAAAAGTCTCCGAAAACTCTGTTCCCGAACCGCGGGGGCTGGAGGTGCAGTCCCGCCAGAGGAGGCTCAGAGAGGCCCCAGGCTCCCGGCGGCGCTGGTGCGAGCGCTCGGCCTTAAGCAGCGCATCCTCGCGAGGCCGCTTGTTGGAAGGCCGCTGGGCCGTCAGAGCAGTCGCAAAGCAGCGAGCGTCCCCACCCACGCGGCGGGCTTCTCCATAAGCCATGCCTGCGCGCATCGGAAGGCCGCCGAGAAAGTCATCTTGAGCAGCTGCGGCGGGTTTTTTTGAAAGCATTTGGGACCATTCGAGCATTTGGCGGGCTTTTTTTTTTTGCGCGAGCCAAGCTCATCAGTGCGTTCGCCTGCGAAGATTTCTGTTCTCTTCCTCGAGGATCTTGACGCGGCGCTCCAGCGCCTGACGGTGCAAGTCTCACGGTTGGCCTCCCCTCAAGCAGAGCAGCATGCTCCCGCACCATCTGCAGTTCCGCTAGATCTCGCTCACCAAGATCGTAGCTGCGCTCCAGCTGCCTGCGGAGAATTATCTTCTCACGCTCCCGTCCTCACCGCGCGCTGTTTCAGCTTCACGGTGGGAGGCTTCCAGCTGGAGGGCTACGCCATGACCCTGAGCGCCTTCGCCTGGAACATCGTGCGCACCTACACGCTGACGCCGGGGAGACGCTACTCCTTCGGCTGCCGGTACAGGCTGGGCACGGCTGATGTACGTCAGCGCGGCCGACAACGACTACGTGGGCGTCACCGGCACCTTCCTCGGCACGCCCTCGCAGGGTGTCTGGAGCACGGCGCGCCTGGACTTCTCGGTGCCGCCGGGCGGAATCGCGAAGCTGCACTTCGGAGCCTTCGGCGGGTCATCCCCGGGCTGGTGCAGCAGTCGGCGGGCACGCTGGACCTGTACAGCATGCAGATCAGGGCCAGCGCCTTCGAGGGAGAGTCTGTCTCAGTAACGGACCTGCTGGCGGACTTGGCGCTCACAGGGCGCCACGCTGACCATCACCGGGGCGGCCTCCGCGGGCCCGCTGGACTGCGAGAGCCTGGACTGCACCTTCACGGCCACGAGCGGCGGAGTGTCGACGGGCAGCGTGGTGTGCGGCGACGTGACGAGCTCGGGCACGGTCTCCGCGCCGCAGCTCTTCGCGTCCAACACGCTCACCGTGACCAACACCTCCGACTTCCGGACGATCTCTTCCTGACGAAGAACTGGGCGGGCTGGAGCAAGCTGCAGGTGTCCAACAACAGCGCGGCCTCCGACAGCGGCCCGGAGCTGCGGCTGCTGGGCAACCAGAGCGCCAGGGTCTTCCTGGAGCGGGACGGCGGGACGCACCAGTGCGAGCTCATCATGATCAACAATGAGGCGCTGGTGCAGACGAAGAGCCTCTCGACGCAGCTGTCCTTGACCACGAACCAGAGGAACCCCGGCTGCCTTGTGATCGCGGGCAACACGGGCAACGTGGTCTGCAACACGAGTGTCGGACAGCAGGGTGCTGAGCTCCAGCAGCTCTTCAACTCCGTGGAGGCCAAGCAGTACAAGCGCCCGGACATGAACGTGAGGCTGGGCTTCGCCTCGGACGACTTCGCAGGAACAAAGTGGAAGAATTTGACGGGGACCACGCGGTGGACCCTCGACTACTCTCACCTCACCAGCGTGCTCTGGGGGGTGTGCAAGGGCTTCCAGGCCCGGCTGGGCCCGCAGGCGAACGTCTGCGAGGATCCCCGCACCGGTTTTGGCAGCATAGCGCAGACGCTGCAGCTCAGGTGCGCGACCCCAGCATCTCCAGAGAGGAGGTAAAGGCGTTTCTGGCGGCCTCCGGGTGAACCCCCGCTCCGGCTGCTATGCGGCGCAACATGGCCTCCTTTGATGGTGCGGATGGTGCGCTCAAAGTAGGCGTGGCCCCTGGTCACCTGCTTCTCGACGTCCCAAAAAAAGGGGTCCCCGAAAAAAAGGGAAAAGGGGTTTCCTTTGGCAAAGGTTGACATCGCTTGAAATGCAACCTGGAGCCAAATTGCGGCGCATATCTAGGGGTCATTATTTTGCAGCCACACGCCTGCACGCAGCGTTTTAGACTTCGAATCCTTCGCAGGACGAGGTCAAATGCTGGACGGACGAGTGCTGGGAGCCTCTCAGGTAGAATAGAATCCATTTGGGAAACGCCCTCTAAAGAGAGAGTGCCTGGAATCGGGGCGTAATACTGAGAGAGCTTGTAACACGGCAGCCCGCAGTTGTCCAAGTTCCTTGTCCAAGTTCCCCGGGCGAACTTGGACAAGTGGCTCTGTAAGAGGAAAACACGTGATAAAATTTGTCCAAGTTCCTTGTCCAAGTTCTTGTCCAAGTTCGGGTTTCCGCCGAGCAAAGGCATCCAGGAGCAAGAGTTTGGGCCCGTTGTTTTGGCTTCAGAAAGGGGCACCTTAGATTGATTGTGTGTTGGCGCTCAGATAGGTGCTGCAACACCTACATAATTAAAGCGCCCAAACTGGGGGACGGCGTTGCAAAGACTGGAGCCGATCTGTCTTTGCCGAGGTGCTCCGAAACCAGTACGTCGTGCCACTGTTGCTGCTGAGTTCTGGGATGGGCTTTGTCTTCACCGGCGCCCTGGAGTGGTCCCCTGATGCAAAGGCCAAGACCCCATGAGCTGGGCAAGGCGAATGGCCATGGCTGAAAGAGGGAACGTCTTTTCGATTCTAACTCTCAGGTATCCGACTTATCTGCAGCGATATGGTGGTCAAGATGCTCCTTGGACAAGATGGCTTCAGCTCAGTTTGGCCAGGCGGGCCCAAACCCACGGGAATGAAACGTGTCGAATTCTATTCCCTCGGCCCTCGCCGAGGTTGGCTTGGCTGGCCTCGCATGCGGTGCTGCCAGCTTAGCGGGCGGCCTTCTGGGCGGAGTCCTAGGCCGGGAATGATTTGCGCCGTCGGTGTTCATCGTCTGTGATCAAGGGTTACCGTAGAACATGGAGCCTGCCGAAAGTATCCATTGTCATAGAGCCTAGATTTGAGCTTTGGGGCTGGCCAGCAACGAACCAAGTCGCGATGTCAGTTCGCAAGTCCTCAGTTCTTAGAATGGCCCCGAGTTTGTTTCACCCGGTGCTTCTGCGCCCTTCAGCCGAGACCGAAGGGCTGGGCCGATCGATCCAGGAATGAAAGCGCTGTCGCTTCTGCGCCGATTTGTGCCGCGGCACAAAATGGCGAGGGAAGAATGCGGAGGTGCTGGTTGCCTTGGGCAGTGCAATGTCATTTGCCGTCGCAACTGATGCTGTCGCGCTGGAGCGTTCTTTCACACAATCACGAGCACAAATGCAGTGCTCACGTAGTGGCGTAGGATTCTTGACATGAGGTCGGTAGCGCAGATTTGCTGCTGCCTGTCCACTTGGCAGCATTGGAATCGTCGTCATTTGGTTGCGTCGCCGCATCCTTTTTCCATAGCTTTGTTCAGTGTCTCTGGCAAAGCTTCGTGGCAGTTTTGGCCTGAGCCTTATTGTTTTTCCCGGAAGCCAATGGGTGTCCCTTTTCCCAGTGCAAACTCGAGTCCTCCGCCTTCTTTCAGCGCAACCCTTTGCCTGGACCGGGCCGTTTGAGAAATACACAACAGCAAAAGAGCACGATCGCTTCGCTATGTGCATCTGGTCAAGATGTTCTTGAGCAAGTTTTCCTGGAGAAAGTTCAACCTGAGCAGGATATGCTGGAGCAACACCAGATGTGCATGAGTAAGAGTTACTTGAACATTTTGTACTTGAGCAAGATACATGTGAAGTAGATGCGCTCGAGCAAGATACACATTGACATGAGCAACGTACACTCGGAGCAAACTCATGCGTTTCCTCCCCAAGACAGTGTGGTTTTCTTGACATATCTTGACATGCTTTTGGTGTTTGCGTTGCTTTGCCGGTGAACGTGGAGACACTGCCTTCACTTCTATTTGAGGGTACTAGTTTGGGCCTGTTTGGGACACCCAAATTTCGGAGGCTGGGAGAGAAGTGGGTGTCTTTCTTCGGGAGCCCCCCAAAATGGGATGGCATTCTTTTTGGTTTCCCCAAGAAAAAGCGACCCCAAAAAGGGGCACCATCTCCAAAGACAGACCCAACGGCTCTCCCTCGATTCCACGGATTCGAATCGGATGCGAGGGGATCTTCATGGTGCTCAGTGGCTCTATGTGGCTTGTGGTGCTGCACTCCCCGTTGGGTGTGAACGCGGCGGCACTGGCCTGGGCCCCTGCCGTTGCTTAGATTTGTCGAGAGCCGCTGGTCCCTGTAAGCAAACCCGCAAGAGCTTAGAGACGTTGAAGCACGGGCTGGGAGTAGAAAGCCGGAGATGTGGGTACTGTTTTCGCCGTCCCAGATTCCCAGGTTTCAGCGGAGTGGAGCGATTTGCATGGTTCCCAAGAGGAGGGGATTGCTGAGTTCTGGGTGATTTGAGCCCTCTATTTCGTGAAACCTTCAATCCCCCGTGTTGGATGTGGCGCCTGTTTCCAGCATGGGTTGCCCGGAGGTTGCAGGAGGCTTCGCCTTTGTCACCTGCCATGCGGGAAGTGCCCTGGATGGAGTCGACAACCGGGACTGTCGACCTGACGGCTCACCGGGACCTTTCGCGCGAAACATAAAAGGGGTTTCTCAAAATGGAGGGGGGGGGGTCCGAAAATTTATCCGGTTTTCCTTTTTCGTTTTTTCCCTTTAGACCAGCTCACAAAAGTTACTGCGAAAAAGGACGCCCAGATTGCCCACGCCCATTTCGGGTGTCATTTGAGGCATGGTGCCAGTGTCGGCGCTGCTGAGCATCGTGCTGCCGTCCAGGCTGCTGGGCTTGGCCTTCGTCGCCCAGGCAACGACACGTCGGTGTGGACACTTGTTTGTATTTTGCCCAGGCATATTCTGCGGTTTTAGAGCTGGCACCTGAACCCCGCACATTTTGAGGTGGAGCTCTCTCCATTTTGGGAGTTCTTGTTGGAGGTACACCCAATTGAAAACTCTTTCTAGGATGGTTTAAAAGGAAATGGACAGTTTCACTGCCATTTTTTTGGGTGGGGACTCGGGATCTACGGCTCCCCCAACTGGGACTTCAGATGCCAATCAGTGGACACACGAAACTGGCAGTAAGTTAAATGGTTTTGTGTTTCGGAGATCGATTTTAGGGGCATGTTGCTGGATCGAACTCCTTTAGGTTTTCAACATTTTTAACTTGAGGGTCATTGAAAGCTTTTGCCCTTTTGGAAGGTATGTAGCATGTCACACAACTCTGGCGGCAGGGGGTTCGGACAGTCCGATTTTTTTGCGGCTCCAGGGATTTTCCCGACAAGTTGGAGCTGGCAAAGGGTAGATGTTCACCTATGGCCTGTGTGAAGTTGCATGACCAACGTTTGGACCTCCCGAGGACACAGATAACGATACCTTGCCAGCCTTGGAAAGGCGGCCCATTTTTACTGACCCCATGCTTTTTGCCAAATCTCATCGGCGCCTTTTTCAGATTTGGTTTGCGAGTGATTGAGGTTGTTGGCCCATGTCTTAGTTGGGGGAAGGCATGCAGGCTCGGGCATCCCGCACTCCGGCGGAAAAGTTTGATCCCACAGATGTGATTCCTGGCTGTATGAGGTGGTAGGGCCCTCTATAAACTACTATAAACCCTTATACCTTCCCGGATTCCATTTCACTCCCCTTGTTCAGAAGGCTGTGGGTCAAACATAGATACCCAACATGGAATCTTGGCACATTCTGAAACATGGACGATTTATCGCAGGGTCATAATATGGCTTAGAACTTGTACGTTCAATCCTGCTACCAAAATGGACTCATGGTAAAACGACATGAAGGCTCTTCCGCGCCTGCGGTTTGCTTTTGGCTTAAAGCGTGACCCATGACTCAAACCGAAAATCCCCTTTTTGGCTGCCAGTGCAAGGCTCGTTTTCGGGCGGCTCGAGTCAAGAGGAGCTGTGCCAGAACCTCGCCTCCTCGGTGGCCCCGCCGCTCGTCGGCGGCTTGTCGGATCACCTCGGCCTCAGGCGGGGGTGGGGGGGAGGCGGGAGGCGGGGGGGGGGTCTTGAGGGGACCAGATTGGCGGTTTTCCTCTTGATTTCCTTGTTAAACCACTCCTTAGATAAAGACACACCCAAATGGGAGTGGTAAGGCATCCCCAGGGCCCGGTGCTCGATCATTTTTCCGCCTTCGAACAGACGTTGCTCCAACTTGCAAGCGCCAAGGCCTGCGATGCACGTGCTGCCGGCGGTGCAGCTTGCCACTGGACCGGGGCAAGTCTTGGCCGAAAAGGGGCCGACTTATTTGGCTGTGGGTCAAAACCAATGGGATCCCATTTTGGGGTAGGTGCACCACCCATTTTAGTCTATTTTAGTGGGGATTGGGATGTTCGCTGGGGGTACGGGATTTTGACCCATGGCCATTTCAAAACCCAACAGGTGGCGTCTCATTCAATCAGCGATCGACCGCTCCATTTTGAGCAGCTGATACTGCACCAAAGCTCAGGCGGCCATTCTGCAGATCTCTAGTTTTCCAGAGTAACTGGACCCTGGGTGTTCTTTTGGCTTCCTGTTGGCCGTGCTGCAAGCTGAAGGGGCCTTTTCAAATTTTCGGCCCTCAAGCGTCCGCAGGGCCACCCGAAAGAGAGCGCCGGAGAGGACTCGGCTTCTTGCTGTTCTTCCTGTGCCTGGACGGGACCCCTTGCCCACCGCAGGTGGAGGCGCCGACGCAAGGAAACCACCAGGAAAGAGCGCCGGCCTCTGTGGGCTCCGCGGTAGTAGTCCTCGTGGTTTGGGTCTGTGGGTTTGTATATATGCGCGCGCGCGCGACAAGGCTTGTATGAATGTACCACTCCGCAGCCAAGGGAGGCTAAGTTTCTTAACAATTGCTTTCCCCTGTCTTGAGGTTGTGATCTCTCGCGTTGCTTTACTTGAGTTCCTGGTTTAGGGCGCCTTTTGAGGAACCTGCTAGGGGCCTCTCCGCTACGAAACTTTCGGTTGACCCATCGCTGGTTGAGGGAAGCCTGGTCGGGACCTGCCGGGGTTCCTTGTGCGTGCCGTGGATGGTCGGGGCAACATCGTGGCCCGCAGCCCTAGACTTGACTCAGCGAACGCTGCATGAAGACCAGGATTAGTAGGGCTTGTGCACGTTGCACGTGCTATGCTGTGAGCGCAAAAACATAAGAAAGAGGCTTGGGATATATAATGTTGCCTATGATGTGCAGCAGAATCCAAAGTAGCGATATATATATATATATATATGTATATATATATATATATGTATATGTATATGTATATGTATATATATATATATAATATATATATAGAAATACATATACACATATATATATATATATATATGAGTGTGTGTGTGTGGGCGGGTGCGTGCGTTCGTGCGTGCGGTGCGGTGCGGTGCGGTGCGGTGCGGTGCGGTGCGGTGCGGTGCGGTGCGGTGCGGTGCGGTGCGGTGCGGTGCGGTGCGGTGCGGTGCGGTGCGGTGCGGTGCGGTGCGGTGCGGTGCGGTGCGGTGCGGTGCGGTGCGGTGCGTGCGTGCGTGCGTGCGTGCGTGCGTGCGTGCGCGTGCGCGTGCGCGTTTTGCGTGCGTGCGGTGCGTTGCGTGCGGTGCGTGCGGTGCGGTGCGTGCGTGCGGTGCGTCGGTGCGTGCGGTGCGTGCCGGTGCGGTGCGGTGCGTGCGGTGCGGTGCGGTGCGGTGCGGTGCGGTGCGGTGCGGTGCGGTGCGGTGCGGTGCGGTGCGGTGCGGTGCGGTGCGGTGCGGTGCGGTGCGGTGCGGTGCGGTGCGGTGCGGTGCGGTGCGGTGCGGTGCGGTGCGGTGCGGTGCGGTGCGGTGCGGTGCGGTGCGGTGCGGTGCGGTGCGGTGCGGTGCGGTGCGGTGCGGTGCGGTGCGGTGCGGTGCGGTGCGGTGCGGTGCGGTGCGGTGCGGTGCGGTGCGGTGCGGTGCGGTGCGGTGCGGTGCGGTGCGGTGGGGTGGGGTGGGGTGGGGTGGGGTGGGGTGGGGTGGGGTGGGGTGGGTGGGTGGGTGGGTGTGCGCGCGTGTGTGTTTGTGTGTGTGTGTGAGGGGCTCAAAAGAAGAATGTTTGGGCCCTGTTGGTTTATGCTGGGCAATCTTGCAGGCGCGCCTTGCCAGCTTCTTTGAGACAGAGGCGCCCCGTCAAGTTTGCAGTCCGAGCTCACACTGCAATTGCCGACCTTGCAAATTTCCCGATGTGACCCCCACACCTGTGATGAAGGTTTCTTTTGCATAACAACCCTTTGAGCCCTATTTCAGGTGAGCTTTTGTAGTTCACCCAGATGACGCGCTTATCACAGTAAAGGCCATGGAAAGCAGGGAGGAGCTTGCTGTGAATGTACTGTAGGCGGAGTCTGACCCCGTGAAGAAGCCCGTCGAATATGCGAGCTGTTAGGGCCCTGTCAGGGGTGCCAAAGAAGCACCCGTTCCGAGAGCAAGGCTCTCGCCATGCCTTCGAGTCGTGTGCGGCGGCTCTCAGAGGCACAGTCTCGAGAGACTTCTTTGCCAAGAGAAGAGAGGTGCCCGAGATCCAGGAATTCTGGAGCCTGCCTGGGCAAGATGCTCGACCCTCTTGGTGCTGAACAACGGCTTATCAGCGATTTGTGTGGGCCACATGTTCGCTTTGCAGCCTTGCTGGGATTCTGAACAAGTCAGAGTTCATGCTGGTGCTTTGAGATGCTTCCTCTGCTGAAAGATTGTGGTGCGCTTTCGAGATCGAAAGAAAGGAGAAGCGAGAGAGGCCACTGGTCGTTTGTCCAACCCTGACAGGGCCAGTCTCATGCGCAGTTTTTGCAATCGTGGCCTCCTTGGTTGTTCCAGTAGTGTCCTTTCTCATGCCCTTGGGTTTGGCCCTTTTGTCGATGGTTGAAAGTACGAAAGCGGTGCAGCTGCCTGGCCGCGCAAAAAGTGCCAAGATCCGGAAGTCTTTTGGCTGATGACATGTCACAGCCCATCGCACGGCTTGTTGCTCCAAGCGCAGATGTCTGGCCTGTGCGGCTCAAGCAGAGCTGCTCAAAATGGCGGCCGTGCCATGTGGCACAAGGCAGGACTTTCAGTCTTGACTGACCTAGCCTGATTGAGCCCGATACCATCCCCACGCCTAGTCAAGCTCTCTGATTCGGTAGCCCGAGACCATCCTAGCACAGACCGAATGCATAGAGTCAGCGGAAAGCTGGACGCACCCCTCCGTTCCCTGCCTCACAAGACCGAAGACCTTACGCAAAAATCCACACTTGGACTCGTTGTAGACCTGTTCCTGCCGAGCCCTAGCATTGAGTGAACTTGGTTGGGGTCGACCCAGGATCATCCCCGTTCGGTCAAATTTTCAGGGTCAATTTGGGAGGGGGATTCGCCCATTTTCCTATGCCGCTTTGGCAGTGGAGCCCGTGGCTCATTTGGCCCCCCCATGTGGCGACCTCTTGCATCTCCGACAGGCTTGGCGATGAGGCGCAGGGGTTTTCGGTGTCAGTTCGGCGACTGCTGTGGATGGCGCCCCCGAACATGCTCTGTTTCGTGTTTTTTTTTGAACACCTTCCAAAAGCGGCACCCCCAATTTTGGCCATACATATTCTGCCAAGGCTATGAATGTATAGCACTTGCGATCCAGTCACAGGCTGAATTCGTGATACTGCAAGATTGGCTTGATTATCGCATTTGCTCATACGGGGATGGGTCCTCATTGCGGCATACCACGATGGGGGGGGGCTTGCTGAATCCGCGAGTCACACAGCAAACATTTCCCTCCAATACAATGAAGGAAGGCAAGGCAATCTTGCAGCAGCGTTTTGATTTTATTAAGGAGGGGTAATAATTTTAGTTTTTTTTTCTTCGTTTTTTTTGGGGATATTCTTCGATTTTTGGCTTCTTGGCTTTTCGGGTTTATGCGGCTTTTGGGGGCTTTTTGGCTTTGGCTTTTCGCATCCTCTGCATTCCCAGTTCCTCTTCGGCAGATGGAGGGGGCTGCCGCCCCCCCCCCCTCCGCTACTTTTTAGACTCCTTTGCAGAGATTTAATTGCACTCCTATTCGAATCATCACTTCTGCGAACATCATGGGGGGGCTGCCGCCCCCCCGAACCCCCCCGCTACCTTTGTTTTTAATCACGGGGATTGAAATGCCCTACTAATTGAATCATCTTTTGTCCCGCCAGCTACTTTTCACGATTTGTTGGTGATGCTGTTGATCGGACATGCGGGGGATGTTGAAAACGATGCTGGGGATGTTGACGGGCTAGTGTAAAATGCGTCAATTTCGCGAGAAAATGCTGTAAAATACAACACTTTACTGGCCCGGACGAATAACAAAAAAAATCCTTAAAAAAATCATTAAAACAACCAAAACTAAATCCGCACCCTTTTAGTAATGCTTGGAGCGGAATGGGAAGCATGAGACCTGGAGGCCTTGTCCTTGCTGAATTCGAATCATATGGACCCTTATTCAGCTGGTCCAAACACAAGACGCACAGGAATGGCCCACTGCGGCACTTTGTCTTCAATACCAAAGAGCTTTGTCATGGGTTCCTGTATATCCTCCTTTGGGTGGCTTTGCACATCACATTGAGGTGATTTTCAAAAGGAAACATAGGAATAGGGAGTCCTGTTTGTACAGGTTTTGATTTCAAGACGTAGCCCTTTGCCAGTTGGCAACTTTTCAAACCTGGGTCTGCAGGTTTGGCTATGCGCCCGGCCCCCGCGAGGTGGGGAAACTTGGGCCGTTTTGTGTTTGCTCACGCGCTTCACATGGAAACTCTGGAAGTCTTTTGGGGGGGTCAGGGGAGGTGGGGAAAGATGTTTGTTGTCGTTTTCGTTTTTTCATGATCTGAAGGTCATTCTTTTCCCTTGACTTCCCTTGCGTCCTGCGGGTTTTCTTGAGCGTCGTCGTTTGAGTCCGTGCTTGCGGGCGCATGTTGACGCTGCTGCACAGGCCGGTGCCTGTCCCAGGGAGAAGTCGAAGGGCAAGGAGCGTGGCTCTTAGTCGCAGACGCGTTTGGGACAAGATTTGGTCATGGGTCAAAAGCCCGTACCCCCAGTGAACATCCCAATCCCCACTAAAATAGACTAAAATGGGTGGTGCACCTACCCCAAAAATGGTACCATTGGTTTTGACCCACAGCCATTTGTGTTCCTGTTTCCGTGCTTACTAATTGAATGTGTGGGATGGTTGCTGTGCAGCGGCATGCCGGATTGCCGTTGCAGCAGATTTTCGGACGCGTTTCAGGACAGCTATGATTTGCGCATTTCGTGCACATCTTGGTATTGCCTCGGTCAAGGTTCAACGACGTCATCCTTGCTGCCGGGGACGATGGCGAGGCGTGCATTGACCCGCACCTGGTATCAGCGCTGCTTCCATTCTCATTCCGCATGCTGTTCTACAGGTCGGATGTGCATATATCAGCCCTTTGATGGAGGCCGCAAGACATTTGTTTGCAAAGCGTTGTTATGTAAGGGTCCCGAGGAAGGTGCCCAGCCCTGCGCACCGGATGTGTAAATATGCCACAGAAATACTTCCAGCCTTTTGCTTAGACTGTTCGGCACTTGGTTCCCACATTGTGGTCTTTGTAGTTTTTGAATCGCAGCCGAAACAAAGATATCAGACACGCTTCCGGCGTTTTTGATCCCGCTTCTCATGCAAGAACACACCCCATTCTCAATATTTGGACTGACATTTTCCAGCTGAGGTCTGAGTTGCGATTCTGCCAAAGTACAAATCCTATTCCGCGATTTGTTTTCGAGCCCGCGGGCCTGGCAGATCGGCGCAACCCCTGAAAAGAACGGCCTCGGTTCTCCGACACCAAAGGAAAAAACCATCCCTCAAGAAAGGACAAGCCATGGTTCATCATGGTTCCATTCTCCCCTAGGACTATGGGACCCTCGTAGCTTTGTGGCTTGGGATCCATCCAGGCCATCCTCGGCTTTGCGAGCCGGCGCCTGCCTGAGCTCAGCGTGGTGAACGCGGCCACCGCGGTCCACCGCCTGGCCAAGTGCCAGCGGCCCAAGACGCATTGGGAAGCCAAGCATGGCTGATGGAGGATGGTGTTTTCATGGGTGGCTTGTCCTTTTTGGAGGGTGTATGGTTTACCTTTGAAAGGAAAATCAGGGGTCCCCCCCCAAAAAAACAGAGGCACGTTCAAACTTGTGAATGAAATTCGGCCTTGGCATAACGAGAGCAGTTTGAGCAAGTCTATGACACGTGCGAGCTATGAAAACTCTTGGAAATCGTTGGTATTCCGTGTAGCTGCATTGGCTCTGCCCAGACCGACCAGGTCTTGCTGAATAGGATCTGTGCTTGCAGGCAAGCAACTATGAGCTTCCAGAAGCTTCAAACAAGGGGCCCTGGGCACCAGCTGATGTGTTTTTGCGCATAGTCAAGACTCTGAGATCTGGGCGTTTCTTGGGCCGAGGGTTGGCAGAGTCAGCTATGGACAGATACATCCATGCGCGCAGCGACTGTATGGCCGCACAGGCGCTGATAGGGCTAACAGTTTCCTCTTGCCTCAACCTCTACCAGCCAGCAAGCTTCGGGGGCACCACTCGTGATTCGAATTGCTTCAGTTTCGACAAGCATTTGTTTCTTTTTCACGAAAGCTAGCTTTAGCTAGCTGAAGTTTCTCCTTGCGTAAGCAAGGTAAGGGGCTCAAATGCCGAAAGATTGATTTTTTCAATTATTTGAGCCGAAAAGATTGAAAAACATCAATTATTTAGACCCCCCCCCCCCTCCCCCCCCCCCCCGGGTCTCAGGCTCGATTCCTCCCTGGTCCATCCCCCCCCCCGGGCAGTGGCTCAGTGTTCAGCAGTCTCGGTTTGCCCGTTTTGGACTTGGTGCTACGAACTTTTACATGTTCCACCGATTCAGCTTGTTCATTTGAGACCTCAGTCTTCTCGGTAAGCCACCTCGCAAGAATCTTTGCACACGCTGCATGCAGAACCCAGAGGTGCTTTAAGACAGCTTCTGACGCCTCTCGTTGTTTTCATTTTTCAAAGTTTGCCACGCCACCATGTGCGTTTGCGTGTCGCATCCTACGAATCTTGCCGGGCCTCTCGTTGTACACAAGCTACCTATGAATCCACTCTGTCACCGACCCATCTCATGCAACAACTGCTAGCTTTCGTTCACCCGCTCCTCAAGTTGGATGTTGAAACATGGGAAAGTGACCGAGAGTCAAAGGCTCGCGAAACTCAAGACCATTTTTTGCCTGATGTCCTCTTCGGGACTGCCACGCGCACCAAGTTCTGTTCAGCAAGGTCAGGACTCACACCGGATTGGCCGAGACGACCGACTGACTGCGCTTTTCGAGCCTTGCATGCAGGTAAAGCTTGGGTGGCCTGCGCGAGATAGCTCCACACAGGAACGGTGGAACATGGCTTTGCAAGCATGCTTCATGTCCGTTGATTTTGCCGCTTGTGATCATGTCCTTGCCTTTCAAACATTGACACAGCTTGGCGTTGCGGCGCCACACACAAGCAGCCCAGCTGCCTCCTGACTCTGACTTCGACGGGTTGGGTGGTTTGTCTTTTGTGAGCGCAACGCACCTCAAAACCGGGTTGTACTGCGTGCAGAATCGTATCATGATATTGTTTGTTGGGGAAATCACCAGGTTGCCCTTTGGATTCCCTTGCAAAGACATATTTTTGCAACAGACCTCTTGGCAGCAACTCTGGAGCGGCCGGTCTTCCTATTCACTGAGGACCGGATCCTGGATATTTTCAGGTGCGTCCCTTTGAGCTTTCAGGTTTTGGGGTTTGATTTCGGCGCCTGACTCGAGACTGGGCTGAAATGGAATCCATCTGATCCAAGGGAGGGCACGTTCGGATCGAACGGGCGAACCTCCACTTGCTTCGCTATCGACCCCGAACCACTTGCTTCGCTGGTATCGACCCCCCGCCAACGCTTTTGGTCCAATTGCACGTTGATTTTCTGGCTTTCGGAACCTGAGCGATGCAACAGACGCCATGCGCCGACCTGATTTGCGTATGCCTTTCGCATTCCTACGGCGAAGGGGCATTGTCGCGCGGGCCCGCGAAATTCTTGCAGTGCTTCTTGCCGATGAAACTCTTCAGTTAAGCTGAACTTGTCAAGGCATTTCTTCCTTCAAGCGCAGCTTGGCACGTGCTTTGGGCGTCAAATTTACGATCGGAAGCCGTTACAGAAGTTCCAGTGACCTGGTGCTTAAGATGTCTGCAGGTTGTCTGGAGGAGACGCACAGCTGAAAAGCCAGTGGGGTTGCCCAGGCTCCAATTGACCCTGAAATCAATAGCAAAAAGTGTCTAGTGGAGCGCACATTGACACTGTGTATTATTTGGGTGTGTCTTTGTTTGAGGGTACCACCTGTTGATTAGTTCTAAAGGGAAACCAAAAGGAACACCACAATGTTTTGGATTCCCAAAAAAGACACCCATTTACATTACCGACGTACATCCGGAATCTCGCCCCAGAATCACTCCGCAAATGGGCTTCCCTCGGTTTTGGGCCATTGCCTGGGAGCGATCGGACAAACAGGCGACAGGCATGTGAGCCATCACCGGCAATGGCCTGGTGCTTTCATCGTCTCAGGTGGAAGTTTCACGTGGATACGCGGGCGCTGACCAATGTTGCCTGGTCGCAGGCAGGTGGGTGTCTGTGGTTCCGTATGAAAAAGAACACGGAAAGCAGAGGCTGCTGAGTGGCAGAGGATGTGCCTTGATCCGTCGCCAAGAACATGGTCTACTTTCGCAATGCTGACATAAAACAAGATGGCGAAGCGGTTTGCAAGGCTTGCAAGTGAATCATGTGAAGGCACAGTCATTATTTTTTTGACAGCGTGTAGTGAAACTGCAGGGTGACTTACAGGTGCCGCTACCTTTTCCGGCAAAGCGCAACACGATCCAACTGAACCAAGGGAGGGTGTATTGATATTGACAGCTTTGGGTCTATATGATTATATGGGTATGTCTTTTTGGGGACCCTCTTGGTTTCCCGTTTAAAACCACCACAAAAGGGGTACTCTCAAAAAAGACATACCCATATGGAGTGACGCGTCAAGCTTGATTTTAGAGAAACACTCCAAATTGGAAAGTTGGTCTGGAATACATGTCCTGGGTGCGAAGACCAATTTCCACCAGTGCCCGTGAAGCTTGGGAGTGTTCCCTGCAATGTGGACGATTACATTTGGGCGCCCATTTGTGGTGGTCGATATTGGCTGAACATTACCACTGATGCCGTCAAACAAAACAGCGACGCCGGGCGCAGTTCAGGCTGCACCGGTTTTGGTGCATTTGCTTCTGAGGCGATAGGAGAGAACAGGCTGCTCAGATGCAAACGCGGCCCTTGTATGGCCAGGCAAAGATGCTGATGAAACACCCGCTCCTCATCAGGTACATTTCTAGCCAGGCCCGATCAAGTGGGCTCTCTAGTCGTTCAACCTGTTTGATCTTTCAGTTAACATGACTCCTCAGGGCGTTGAGGGCCCTTTCCGCGCTTGCAAAAAGGGGAACCCACCCTGTTAGGTGCTCGACTGCGCCGCCGAGTGCTCGCCGCAGCAGCTGGCCCTGGACCAAGTGCCCAGAGAGGTGTCGACCTTTGGCGAGATCCGGGCCAGACGTTCTTCGTAGCTGAAAGCTTTCGGGGCTCAAACCTCAAAGAAAAGGGTTGTGCCATGAACATTCGGGTGCAGGTCGCGTGACGCAGGACGTAGGGACTTGAGGGATACTGCGGCAGGGTACCGATAGCAAGGTGGCTCTCAGGAGCTACATGCGGCTTTCGCGCGTGTGCAGGCGTGTGGTCCTGTTTGCCGAGTGTACGAATACCCACGTCTCTGTTAAGCGTGTGCAGGCATGTGTGTGTGTGTGTGTTCAGAGCGGAGATACGTGTTTCCCTCGTGTGCATCCACGTGCGCGCTCATGCTTCCCCAAAGCCAAGATGTCCCAAGTGAATGCGCATGTGTCCACCACTAATGTTTGTGCACATGCGCACATTGTGCGCTGCTCGTGTGCTTTGCAAATATGCCCTTGTCAGTCCCAGCGTATACACAGGCAGTTTCCGAGTAAGCGTTTTTTTTCCTTCCCCCTCGTGCGTGTGCAATCATGTGTGTGTGTGCGAACCGTCCTGGAGCACGGACGCAAAACTTTAAGCAGCAGGGGCGTGTGGCACTCTCATCCTACCACACGCAATGAAGCTGTGGGTGAGAGTGGGAAGCAAGGCCTGATCAGCCTTGTGTACCTGCCTTTCCTTCTTTTTCCTGACTGTTTTTCCGTCCTGTTCGCTGTTGCTTCCCGGTTTCTGTTCTGCATTTTGACCTGTCAAGCAATTTCAGCAGTTGCAGGTTTTTCCAACCTTTTCATCTCGGCTAGTGAAGCCTCTCGAGATAAGTGTGTTTACCCACGGCCTGTCCGACATGGCGCTGTGGGCTGGACTCGCCATATGCGGGAGCCCTCTGCAAGGGGATGACGTTCAAAAGTTCACGTTCAGTTCACCTTCGCATTGCACTGCCTGCCTTTTGAACAAGGCAGCTCTCACGAGGTATCAGGCTCCGGCAGCTTCATTCGCATTGCACTGCCTGCGTTTTGAACAAGGCAGCTCTCATGAGGTATCAGGATTCGGCAGCTTCATGCGCGAGTGACAAGCCGGTCAGACACCGACTTTGCCGTTCATTGGTTCACGCTCTGCGCCGACTCAGATCAGTTCAATTCATGTTCACGCCTTGACTGCCATTTTCGAAACCTTTTTCCGTTGCCGCGGGGTTTTTTGTCGGTCCCCTGCTGGAATTCCCTCGGTTTGGTTTTGTGTGCTTGGGTTTTTTTTCGTTTTTCGTCTTTGAAAATCTTTTGCTGTTGCCGCGGGGTTTTTGGCGGTCCCCTGGTGGAATTCCCTCTGTGTGGTTTTTGTGTGCTCGGGTTTTTCGTCCTTGATTTTTTTTGCTGTTGCCGGGGGTTTTTGGAGGTCCCCTGGTGGAATTCCCTCTGCTTGGTTTTGTGCGCCCGGTTTTTCGTCCTTGAAAATCGTTTGCTGTTGCCGCGGGGTTTTTGGCGGTCCCCTGGTGGAATTCCCTCTGTGTGGTTCGTGTCCACCCCACCGGGGCTTTGTGTGTGTGAACCGTCCTGGAGCACGGACGCAAAACTTTAAGCAGCAGGGGCGTGTGGCACTCTCATCCTGTGGGTGAGAGTGGGAAGCAAGGCCTGATCAGCCTTGTGTACCTGCCTTTCCTTCTTTTTCCTGACTGTTTTTCCGTCCTGTTCGCTGTTGCTTCCCGGTTTCTGTTCTGCATTTTGACCTGTCAAGCAATTTCAGCAGTTGCAGGTTTTTCCAACCTTTTCATCTCGGCTAGTGAAGCCTCTCGAGATAAGTGTGTGTGTGTGTCTGTGTCTGTGTCTGTGTCTGTGTCTGTGTCTGTGTCTGTGTCTGTGTCTGCGTCTGTGTCTGTGTATGTGTATGTGTATGTGTATATGTGTGTGTGTGTGTGTGTGTGTGTGTGTGTGTGTGCGTGCGTGCGTGCGTGCGTGCGTGCGTGCGTGCGTGCGTGCGTGCGTGCGTGTGTGTGTGTGTGTGTGTGTGTGTGTGTGTGTGTGTGTGTTTGTTTGTGTGTGTGTGTCTTTTTGCGGCCATGGTTGCCAGGTGTTTACACGTGTGGTGTACACTCGCATGTATCTCAGACTCAAGAGCGTTTTGCACAGACTTCTTCTCACCAAGAACCATGAGTGGTCCCTCCTCCTGGTTGGTTGAGGTATGGATTCCGTGGGCTGACAGCCGATCGTAACCGGTGGATCCCATGTGGGTGGCTTGTCTTTTTTGATTTCAACCCCCAACATTGATTTCGGTTTGCCTTATGGCTTCCCGTCAAAACCCACCACAAAGGGGTACCCTGACAAAAGGACGCACCCATGTTTGCCCACAAGCCAATGCTCGTTTGCCTCACTTTCGCAGATGCCCCGCTGATACTGTGAGGAGCTCCTCGAAAATCACCTAAACATTCGGAATTCTGAAGACACCCCGACCACCACGGGGCATCAAAGTGAATTGCAACGTCCCGTTAGACTGAGTCGTGCAAAATGTGGAGTGCCTGGAGGCAGTGTCACCAGTGTTGTTCGACGTATTGTAGCCACTGTTGTAACAGAAGACTTGCGATGGGATGCGGTTTAGAGATATTGCACTATTTCTTGCTGGGAGTGCCAGTCAATGGTCAGCTGCCAGGGAGGTTTCCAAATTCTTTGAAGGTTCCGGGACTTGCTTGCTTGCCTGCTTGCCTCTCTGTTTGTGTGTCTGTCAATTTGTCTGTTTGTCTTTCTGTCTGCCCAATTCTAGGCACTGCTTTGGACATTTGGCTCAAGAGTAACGGGTGCATGGAAGCCGTCGCATAGCATGCACACCTAGCCGAATACACTGCCTATGCGGCAAACTTCACAACTGACATGGTGTTGGACTTAAACGCGCCTTGGCAGAGTGCGCATGTGGCCAGTGAGAGAGTACGGCTTTTCGGCCCCACGATCGGCAAACATCTGTTTGTTGCTGGGGACCAAAGCAGCAGGTTTGGACCGATGACTTGGACCGTTCTGAGCTGAGGCATTAACCCTGCACAATTGCGACCTGGATGGAGATGGCAGGAATTTACCCGTCCTTGGGGCTTTCGGCTGTGCCATTTGCATGGGCCACAAAGCGCTTCGCGCTCGAAAGGGATCGAATGAATTCGCCAGCCATTCAAGACAAGTTTTCGTCTTGAGTCAGGGCCTCCCTCCCTTAAAGTCCTTGCTTTGGTTTTCCAGTTTCGTTTTTGGTCCAGGGGTCTCTTTTTCTCTTCTTCGGGGCTTTCGTCCAGGCTGTCTCTTTTTTGTGTATTTTGGAGCTAGAGGTGTCTTGCAACTTGCTGACGGTTGTGGGGAGACCACGGTCCCGAAGTCCTGCCTCAAGCTCCTGAGCGCCTCGCTGCAACGGCTGGATGCCAGCTGGCTGGTGAAGCCGTTCGGGAGCAGCGCCAATGGCTTCACCACCAAGGACCGCGAGCTCAGGGGTCGAGGTCGGACATGACGGGGGACCCACTCGGTTTCCCGCAAAAACCGGGGCACGCAGCAAATGTTGTTCTGTCCTTGTGGGCGCCCTTCAGTAAATGTGCGAGCAAATTCGAATTCCTGCTTTCCTGTTTCTGGTTGCCTCCTGTTGGTTCACCCCCCTTCCCCTGCTCACCTTGTTTCTGGCTCAGTGGTGCGTATATATATATATACCACGCCAGGGGGTCTGTTTAAGGTTTTCTATTCCTCTCGAATACTACTGTAGTTTTCACACCCAAGATCCTCAAACACCGCCTGGCTGTGCCATCTCATCCACTACCACTAGAAAGTCATATGCCATCAATACAGAACCCCAATGGCCGTGGCTCAGATTCCCATTGAAGATTCATGGCTAAATTTGGAAGCTTTGTTTGGGTTTGAGGTTCATGGAGGTCTCGCGGTTTTGGCGGCTTTCATGGGCAGAACAAAGAATGTGATACTAGGAAACTTCTGTTAGCATGGGTGTCAATTTTTGATTGCAGCCGTGCCTGTGAACAGTATTTGGGACTGCCAGCACAAGAGTATTCAAGGTTGCACAATTTTGCAAGTACGAAAATGCCAGCGAAGACGATCATCCAATTAATTACAAATTTGGGTTTTGAGGTTTTACGCTTTAGGAAGTTTAGGGTTTTCGGGGGAAATATTGAACAGGGTTCCGAGGGTCGCTTCACTGAGCGCTTCTCTGCAGGATCCCTCATTGGCGTATTGTTTGGCCATCCCACGTGGATGGAGGATAGTTTGGTCAGCCCATGATGCGACCGCCGCCAGTTTGCTCTGAGCCACAATCACAACCCGTTTTTTTTTAGAGAGAGTAGGGAACAGCCCCAACCACAAACGGTGCAGCCTTTCGCCCATTGCAAGTCTTTTGCCCATTGCAGCCACCCCCATGAGGACTCTGATTTGGACTTGACTTGCATCATTCCGGGCAAGAGCCAGAAAGCTGCATTGGAGATTTTCTCCAACAAGAGGGCGGAGGTCGTTGGGGTGGTTAGGGTGGGCTGAGGCAATTTTGTGCCACCTGTGCAGTCTTGAGATGCTCAGTCCAAATTTGGGGACCCTTGTTGTCGGTTTTCCCCTTTTTTGCAAACCCACAGTTTTGGAGGGGACTCGAATTTAGGCCAAACAACTAGATTCTCCCAAGTTGATGGTGTTCTGAATCCTGGCAGAATGGTGGGCCTTTTTTGAGGGTGCCATTTTGAAGCCTGTTTGCTGTTTTCTTGATTCTTTAATTGACTCATGCCCTAAATGATGCCAGAAACAAAATGGGAACGTGATAATGTTGGGAACATGGGAAATTTGGGCAAATCCTAACAAGCTCACCGAGGGGGTAAAACTCAATCGGGCAGCTTCACCCACGTTGCGGTTCTTCAATCTGCACTCAATCTCTTTGCTCGCGCTTCCCTTAAATGCTACATCCAAGAATCCTGCCTTTTTCTTCCCCCTTGTTGGGTTCTCGAAATCCACTTCAAGAGAACTAAAAGGAACTCCAAAGCAAAGCCAAGAGGAAACCGAAAGGACAACATGTGTTGGTTTTGTTGCTGGTGCAAAACAAGTGCATTTTGCTTGAACATGCCGTAGAGTATAACACATTTCTCCGCACTGGGAGTGAATACAATAAGAAATCCTGAAAAACACAAACACAAACACACACAACACAGAGAAACAACAACAACAAAAGACAACAACCCCAAGAGAAACAGCATCAGCAGCAACACACCAACAAACATTGAGAAAACAAAAAAACAACACACACGCACAACGCAGAACAACCACACAACACAAAGAAACGGGGGTTTCAAAAACAAACAATGCCCGACGCCCGCGCCTGAATCAAAGATCTCGGAGGTGGAGGAGGTGCTCAAGGCCACCCTGGGCATCGAGGTGCTGCAGGTGATCTGGACGGCGCGTGTGCCCGTGGTGAAGATGAAGTTCGCGGGCTTCCTGGAGGAGGGGTTAAAAGCGGGTTCGCAGGTCTAAGCGGGAGGAGACGGGGGTTGGGAGGTGTGGTGGGGGTTGGGGTGGAAGAAATGGGTTGAAAAGGGGGAAGGGGATGAGGGACGAAGGAGGAAGAGAAAGTAGATGAAAGCCCAGCCATCCCCAGGCACCCCCTCTCCGCGCAGAGAACTAGAGGGCTTTTCAGACATACCGGGCGCTCCAAAAAAAGGGAAAGGTTTCTGTTGGTTTTCCCGTTGCAGACACAACATCCATAAGGGGCCCGGCCATTCTTGATTACACCAGGGGCTGCCTGGCCTTGAGCTGTTTGGAGCCAGAGCTCAGAGAGCCAACAGTTAGAATTGGCCACTCGCATTGCATTGCATGGGGACGGAATGGATGAAATGGATGCATGGATGGATGGACGGACGGAAGGATGTACGGATGCATGGATGGGACTGGGTTGGACAGAATCGGATCGGATCGGATTTGAGTTGATGGCATTGGACTGGATTGGATCGATTGGATTGATTCCCGAGATAGATGAAAGCTATAGGGGTTCTACCCTCTGAGAAACATGCAACATGCTGGCGACGGTGCGTGTCCAGCACCCCAAACTGCATGCCCCCTTGCGCCCGCCCTCAATCTTGCAAAAGGCGCCTGCACCGTCACCAGCACCTCAAACACCACAAGCAACCCAAAGCAGCAAGACACAGACAGGGACACGGACACGGAAACGCAGGTGGACCTCACGTTTCAAAACGTCGCCGCCCTGGTCAACACGGATTTGCTGAAGGCGGGGGTTGTGCCGCCAGCCCGAGGGACTCCTGGACGGAGGTGGGTTTGTTGGAGTTTTCCCTCAGATGGCTGAAGGCATGTTATCAAGTCGCAAGGAGAGGAAGCCGATTCCAGATCTCAACGCAGGCAGATGCTCAGTGTGAGGGTGCTGCAGGGGAGCTTTTGGAGTGATCCTTCGGTCCAAAGAGGGTAGCTACCAGAGGTTTAGACATGACCTGGGTGGTTTGCCCTGCTCAAAGAAGTTTCCCTCAAGACCTGGCAGGCATACTCCAACATGAGCCCGCAGCTTCGGCAGCTGGGTATAGCTGTGAAGCGTTGGGCCAAGGCGGTTTCTCGGCGAAAAGCTTCGCATGGCCGGCGGCCGGTGCGGTGGATGCCCCAAAATCCGATGGACGAGTTTCTGTTCTGGTGGATAAAGGTGCCGGATTTCGTTCATCCACAGCATGACGGAAACCGATTCTTTCTCAGCTGGCTTTGTGGTGGTGTGTGGCCGTTTGACTTGCAATATGTTGAGCATTCTCCGTACCTTCTAAAGAGGCCCTAACGGCTCTTTCAATGGCTGCTACACGTTTAAAGGACGGGGTTTGGAACGGCTTTTTTTTTTTGAAAGGCTGCCAGCCGTGCACTCTTACCGTCATGGTTGATAAAGGTGTAAATTTTCCCTGACTGAACACGGGTTTGCCTCTAGTTGAACTGCTTTGTGGATCGCAAAGCACCTGGAGGCGAGCCCCAATCTTGAAAAAAACAACCTTTGGACACGGGTGGGTCAACAAGGATCCCGATATGTCCATTTTTTGTGGCCTTAAACCTCGCCTTTTGTGGCCATTTCAGGTGAGTTGCCCTCGGCAGTGATGCTTTTAGGTTGGAAAAAAGGGGCCTTGAAGTTCTCTTTTCCCCAGCCGAGGCGGATGTGTCCGGAGCACCGCAAGGGAATTTGTCGTCCTACTCCTTCACGCTCATGGCCATCTACTTCATGCAGACCTGCCATGGGCTGCCTTGCCTGCCAACCGATGTCTTCAGCGAGGACGGCCCGGCCAGGGCCCCAAACTTGGCGGCGGGACGCCGGCGAGAAAGATCGGTTGAAACGTGAGCTGCCCGTCTTTTTCCGGCTTTGAAGCCTTTGCGGAAGCCTTGTTGATTCGCTGACCATCGAGGGGGTGACTGCCACAAGAGGGTTCTTCTCCTTCAAGCAAGCCTTGACGTGAATTGAAGAAGTTGTGGTGGGAATGGGGCTCATGGGATTGTGATTTTCGGTGGCGAACTGAAGGGCAACCACCCACGTCGAGGTTTGGCTCTGAGCTCTCAGGCCATTGACCTTAGTGGCTGGCGCTGGGAGTGCGGGCTGCCACTACCCACCCTGCTGATGCAGCCGCCAGCCGGAATTTGGGATTCGAACGCGCGGAGTTGGTCTTCCTTTGCGGGGGACCTTTCAAACGGTCCTGTCCCTGTGGTTTCCTTGAAAACCCAAGGACACTCTGACAAGAGACAACAACACCCACTCTCTCACCCACCCAACCTAACCTAACCTAACCCCACCCCGACCCGACCAAACCCAACCCCACCCCCCGCTCCACTCACACGCACACGCGCATGCAAACCCACTCACCCTTGGGGCATGCTACTGTTTGCAATGAAGCTTGGCTTAGCGAGGTTCTTCTTCTTCTACTCCGACTCCCGGCAGTTCCAGTGGGGTTCCGAGGTGGTGTCCGTGCGCATGGGATGCAGGCTGACCATGGAGCATCAGTGCTTTGCCTGGCTGGAGACCTGGAACCAGACCAACCGCCTGCACATCGAGGACCCTTTCATCTTGGATAGGAATCTGAACTGCGTGCTGGGCACATGGCAAGAAGGCGGGGATGCCGAGGTGGCGTCGGTGCCGTCGAGCCTGGTGGCCTTCAAAGTCCAAAGAAGTGCCAGCTTCGGGCCCGTGCACTGGTTACAATTGTTTGAATTCGTGACAGCTGACCATTCGAATTTGCGTCTCGCAACATCGCACGGCATTGGCTCAGGCTGTTCAGTTAGACTTCCTTGGCGCTTCCACATGGCTCACTTCCATTCGGACCCACGCTCATGCGACATGATCGTTCACGATCAAGTTGAGTCGGCCACAGGCCATGCTTGGAGGGTTCCTAAACGACACACCCATTTTCTACGAATCCTCAAAGCCCAAGAGCTGGGGGCAACTGGGGTCTTGCTGCTGCCTCTGGGCCCCACACGAAGGGGCCAGACCTCAGAAGTCGGAGTTAAGACCCTCCGGCTGTTTCGGCTGTCCGGCGCTTTTTGGGGGCTGTTTGGTTTCCCCGGATTTTTTTGAGAGTTACACCACTCCAAATGGCGATTTCGGTTTTGGTTCCAAAAAAGGGCCTTGGTATCCTCACTTTCATGTTCCCCGGTTGGTTTTTCAAAGGAGGTCTATTGGACATATTTGTTTATTTCTTCCAGAGGGCCTAAGCAAATGGAGGATTCCAGTGCCTACCTTGGACCACGATCTTCCGTGGAGTAATCTTCCCACAGCGCTTGCATGGAGATACCCGATTGGCCGTGGTTGACAAAACCAATGGTACCATATGGGAATTCACCACCCATTTTAGAACCCATTTTAGTGGGGACTGGGATGTTCGCTGGGGGTACAGGGTTTTGAGTTTTGACCCATGTCCACACGAGAACTGAAAGCCAAAGCGAGCGCGTCGCCAATCAGGCAGGCTCAAGGAGGCGCTGCAGGATGCGGCTGCGGCCATGACCAGTGGCAAGCTGCCCAGGCCAACCGGCCGGGGGTTCGAACCCAACGCCCCCCCCGCCCTTTTGGTCTTTTTGTGGGGTTTAGAGGGAGGGTGAAAGGAAAGCCACAGGATGTTTTTTGGATGGGTTCCCCTATTTTGAGAAGAGTTGGGCGAAAGTAGACGGCTGAAAGTAGAAGGCTTGTTTTGCAGGATACTTTAATGTACTTCACCCTTAGGATGGTTTATGGGCAACTGGGAAGTGCATTCCGGGATCTATAGAGAACACCCTCAATGATTGGCGCGCACAGCCGACGTGATTGTGTCAGGATCACCCATGACCGATCACTTTGGTAATGTCCTTTGGGTGGGGCAAAATGGGAATGGAAGACCAGGGTCGGTTTTTGCAACCGAATGGGCTCAACTGCACAGCGTGAAGTGTGGAACATGGGCGCAGCCAAGCGTTATGTACCATTGCTACAACTGCGCACTTTGTGGCAAACCTGCCCAGTGTCGCGGCTGTGTCAGCCTTGCGAGAGGAAATGCAGGACAAAAGGTCTGAGACTCTAACTTTTTTCAGTGCGAATTCGGTCGAGGCTTTTTCGCCCACCTTGGAAATCGCTCGCGGATGACTGTCCGCCCAACACGACGTTAGGTGTTTGGACAGCGGCCGCACTGAGGCCAAGGCTCGCATCGTGGGGTCCGTGGTGTGTTTGGAGAGTTCTTTCAAAGAATGGGGAATCTGAACGGACCATTCCGGGACAAAGAACCAGTCTTTTCAAGAACACCAGTCCCGTCCGAACCGGTTCCAAGTTCTCCATGCTGAGCAAAAACAGATCTGGTCATTTCTTGGCAGGGGCAGGTTTGTGATCGCCGGGCTTTGAAGCCCCAGTGACGGTGGTTCCTTTTCGTCATTACCGACTGCAAAGGGTACCCCCCAAAAACGCCCAGATCAATTCTGATGTGCCTGTTGCGTGTGGCCGCACAATGTGGAATTCCCACGCCAGTTGATCAATATCAAAAGCAGAGGTAACAGCAAACGAAAGCCCGCCTATGCAGTCATTGTGTATTCAGGTTACATTCTAATTTGGTGAGCAAGCCCCATTTCCTTGTGGCGTTGCATGAAGTCCATGTTGCTGAGTCAGACTCGCACCCCCAAGTTCATCATTGCTTGAGCTTTGGAGGCGAGCTGACGTGGCTGCTCACTTAAAAAAACCCAACATGGAACGAAGCTTTCAGTTTTCACCTGGTGCATAGTGGAAGATGCTCATTTCTGAGGCTAACATCCGTCGTTTCTTTTCGCACCAGGATGCAGCCAGCACAGAGACGCCTGCATCCGGCCTCACCTCAGACAAGACACAGGTGGTGTCCGATGTGGAAGACAGTGGCAAGCCGGCGGACAAGGCTGTCGTTGGGTGGCCCCCCGCGGATCGGATAAGAGTGAATCCCCAGGAAAGCGTCCCAAAAACTCACACTCATACTGATATGGATGTATTTGGTTTCTAGGGTACCCACTTTTGATTGGTTTTACTCGGAAACCAACAGGACACCAACCACTTTGTTGTGTCCGCTGCATTGAGACAAACCCCTTTGTACGGTCAAAGCAGCCTTTCCAAAGCAGCTGGGGATGTGTGAGCCGCCTCTCCGAAGTTGTAAGCGAGCGAGCGAGCCGGCCAGGTGAGGGCGCCTGAGCCGTCTGAGGTGCCGCTCACAGCGCTGTCGCTGAGTTTCTTCCGGAATCGCGTGGTCCGATTGTAGGCGGGTAGGTCCCGATTAACATCGGTCCGTCGGGTGGGAGCCGTTGGGGTCTTTATTTCATTTTTCGAGCCCCCAGCGATGGTAGGGGCAAAGAACAAGGTGAAACGACGGTTAGCTCGGGGTTGGAAAAATGATCGGCTCCCTTTGCCGACGTCGACGGTTTTCTAAAACGGGGCGGGGAGGGCTTCCGAATTTCAAACCCCTCTCGGACGTGGCGCTGTTTTTCTTTGGGACGGCGTCTGGTTCTTCCCCCTGTCCCTGTGTGGAGTTGAGAACTTGTCCACAGAGGCTCAAGCCAACCGGGGTCCCGAACGGAGCACGGCGAAGCAGGGGCTGTTGAAAAGACTTCAGCTGAGAATATTGATTCAGTGCATAGTATGTTCTTAGCAGTTCGGCGGACTTCTCGTGAAGCCCGGGATGGACATCAAGTGCTATTGCTTTGTACAGCCGCGGACTAGTGGACCGGACATTTTTAGCACCCTGGTAGGAGCGCGGAGCGCTTGTCCTTTTTGGCTGGCTGCTGTAATCGGGCTGCTTTCATAGACGGCCGTTTGGCGCATTCGTCTGCTTTGTGTTCAGTGACATCTAGGAGAAGGCAACCAAAGGAGACCTGTGTGCTGGATGAACCATCGCGCCAAATTCTCAGGTCTCCTTTCAGGGTTTCCGGCTCTGAAAACTTTGTGATGAGAGCAGCTCTGACGAAGCCGTGGCAAAATGATTTTATTCATGGCACTCTGCGTGCTGCAAGCACACAATTCTACGAGTCCCACTAGCTGTGGCTGTGGTCGAAGTGGCAACTCGTGTCATTCAGGTATCCCGCCGAAAGGGCGTAGCCCTGCTGGGCCATTTTCTTGGAACCATCGTAGCTCAGCTGGGCTGATCGACACGCGGAAGTCTTCTAAAAACCCAACTCTACGTGACAGACAGAGAAACGGCAGTGCCAAGGGTGCAGTTTTCCGCAGGCCCGAATATTGTCGTAGTGTATGTTCTAGCCGTATTTTGCACGCGAAGCTGAAAGGCTCGCCGCCAACAGATTGTTTTGAGCGCTTTACAGCTGCGTCGAGGCCAAACAGTCGCGCAAGGGTGGAGAGATCTTGAAATGTGGAGACGCCCAATGCACTGTACTCCCATGCATTCCTGTTCCGGGTGGGGAAATGTGATCGGTGTCCCAAATGGCGGGCGGACTGGAGCGTGAGCCGCTTCCGAGGCAAACTGCGCCTGGGCCTTTGCCAGAATCGAGCATTGTGATGCAAGGCAGGGCGTCCTTGGAACGTGCAAGCCTCAAAGTGTTTTGGTTTACCCAGTGCGCACGAATTTCTTGCAGAAAGAGTAAGGCAGGTGTATTCCTCAATCTTTTCGTGGTCTTGTCGTGTGTCCACGGTCTTTTTCCATTCTCCCGTCTTCCTGTAGTTTCTCCACAGGCTTCCGTTGTCTTTCCCTGAAGCATTCTCAGTCTTCTTTTCCACAGTCTTCCCAAACATCTTTCGGTAGTCCCACAGTGTTCTTGTTGCTTGGCGTCCACATAGTCTTGGGTCTCCTGTAGTCTTCCCGTGATCTTGTAGCTTCTGGTTGAGGTGTTTGGTTGCAAGTATGGTCGAGCCGATATTTTTGGATCGGTGCTGAGTGTTTTCTGCGCCACCTTCATGTGTGTGGGCTTGCCACAGTTGCAGCTTTGCCGTGGTCGTAATCCTCCAGTATTCGTTGCAGAGTCTAGTGGTCTTCCTGTAGCGTCCTTTAGGCTTCTTTCCACCATTCCAGTGTTTAGCAACCGTAACATCATCATTTGAGATTGGCGCATCCTCTAACATCCAAAATGTCAAAGAGGGGGGACCTACTGTTCTTCCAAAACTGCATCCATTCTTCTCGTAGTCTTCCCGCAATCTTTTTGCAGAGATCTACTAGTGTGGCTGTAGGTCATCCCGTTGTTCCGTGATTTGTCGAAAAAGGGCACACTGACGGCAAGAGCTTCGTCAGCTTTCTTGACCCCTGGTTTTTTGGGGCCTCGAAAGTGATTGACCAACAGGTAAAGTGGAGGTCAAACAAAGCACACATGGGGTCCGACAAATCGAAGTTGCGCTGCGGCTGATGACATGGGCACCCAGCGACCCAGCGCAGGCTTCTCGCGGTCCTAGCCAGCCAGGCTGCGGTTCGAAGCTGCGGGGAGATTCCACAAAGGCCTTGGGCCGAAAGGGGGCTTTTTAGGAGCCGAAGCCCGCCTTGCCCCTCCCTCACCCCTCACCCCCTCACCCCCTCACCCCCTCACCCCCTCACCCCCTCACCCCCTCACCCCCTCACCCCCTCACCCCCTCACCCCCTCACCCCCTCACCCCCTCACCCCCTCACCCCCTCACCCCCTCACCCCCTCACCTCACCCCTCACCCCCTCACCCTCACCCCCTCACCCCCTCACCCCCTCACCCCCTCACCTCCTCACCCCCTAACCCCCCCCCCCCCCTCCCAGGTGCAGAGTTATGGTTAAGCGTGTGAGCCATGTTGATCTCGCGGGTTGCGCATGTTCAGTGCAGGCTGCCAGGCGGATCAGAGAGTTCAGTCCACAAAACCTCATGTGTGGGGGCCCCAGCCACGGAGAACTGGGTCGAATTGGCCAAGCCTCCATGTAGCCCGTGGTGTGGTGGGTTGCAAGAGAGGCTTGGGTTGCGCAACTCTCGTTTTAGCAGGGCCATCAATGTTGCTTGAAACGGCCAGTGACGGTGGTCAGTTGCTCGAAGAAAGGGCAGCCGGCGGGGTGACAAAAGATTGGGCACTTATTTTCGGACCCTGGCCCAAAGGTGCCACCTGGTGCCACAATATAAAGTGGATGCCACAAATTTTTGACAACCTCCCAGCCAGCAGCGTTGTGCCAATGGGGTTGCGTCTTGAGGCATGCTATGGGCCAGCGCTCGGCTGCAACTCTCGCGTGGAGCTTAGATAAGGTTTGGACATTCCAGCCCTTCCAACACGCAGTGTTCAGGCTAGAGAAATGGTATCTGACCCCCTCATTTCTGAACCCGCAACGCATACCTGTGATTCCTGGAGCATTGCTCCCTCCACCTAACTTCATTCCCACACATTTGAGAGGGTTTTGTCTAAGGGTTCGTTTGGCTTCAGTTTGGTTATTCACCAGTCCTATCCACTTGTCCTGAAAAAAGAACAGGTCTAAGGCTTCCGCGTGCCAAGCCCAACAAACGGGTCGCCCAGGCACGCGGGGCTCCTGGGGGCTGCAGAGACCTTCGCGAGAGATATGCAGAGCTTTACGGCGCAGGCGAGAAATTCAGCGCGGCCATTCATGAAGCGCTCGAAAATTGAAGGCGTGTCTGGTTCCCCATCCGGGTGTGGGTCAAAACTTAGCCACCAGGGGACCGCTGGTTTTAGTCTTTGGTTCGCTTTACCAGGGCAACCCATTTTGGGGTTAGCCTATTTTTGACCCACAGCCATACAGGTTGCCAAGTCATTTTATGGCAAGGACGCCTGGGGATAATAAAGAAGGGCCCACCATGATGCAGGTTACTTGGGGATCCCGGAGTTAGGTTCTACTGAGCTGGCAACCCAGCGTGGGGAAAGGCATGGAATGTGGCACCAGACTGATCCGAACACTCTGGGCTAAAGCGTTAACCGTAGGTGGTCGCTTGTCTTGACTCTTAATAAGTATCCACTTGGGCCACCATTTTGGCTCAAGTGGACCTTTTGATCTTTTGTCTTGTGATTTGAAATCTTTCTTTCCCCTACTCTCAAAGCCATGTACGCCCCCGCCTACGCTGGTGCCGCGGTAGCAGAGGCCAAGGCTAAGGCAAAGGCCTCCATGGCAAAGTACCTGGCGAGCCTCGTGAAGAGGGAGGAAGAAGGATGGACCGTTTTGGCTGCTGAGGTCCCTCAGGCACCTGACGAGCGTTTCTTCTCCAGCGCAGATGAGCTGGAGCAGGCCCCCCTTATCCCGGCCAAGCGCAAGGCAGAGGATGAGCCGATGGAAGATGCAGCCCCTGGGGTGGCGCAGGTGCCGAAGGCCCTGACACGCCCCCCAGGGGCGTTCCTGGAGCTCCTGAACCCGCCGGAGGAGGACGTGCCCATGGAGGAGCTCCTGGCGAAGGACGAGAAGGAGCTGCCGATGCCCAGGTTCCCCTCGGCTGCAGCCCGCTTGGAGGAGGCCCGCCTGGATGCCCGGGCAGACGCCAAGTGGCAGAGGCGCCGGGAGCTGATGGCGAAGGTCAAGGAGCAGGCGTCCTCGGAGGAGGATGAGAACCCCGCAGCCCCCCCGCCGGGGGGGAGCGTGTTCACCAAGGCCCTCAAGGTCTCGGAGGGCCTCTACCAGTTCAGCGACGACCAGATGGCGGGCGACTTCCCTTGCTTCGATGCGACCACGGCCACTAGGCTCCGCCGACTGCAGGCCAAGGACGTCCAGCGGCTCCTGCGAGGCTTTGAGGGCCCCCAACTCAAGCAGGGGGGCCTGGAGCGCGTTGTGGAGGCCTTCTACATCGCCAAGATGAAGTACGAGCATGAGGCCCGGCTCAGCACCCCGGGACAGCAGGTTGGCAAGCGCGCTGGCTTGGGGTACGGGGGCCTGGAGAACCGCCCCCTGGGCAAGGTGCCCACATCCTGGATCTGCCCCTGCTGCACCATGCCCTGGGTGAAGAAGGGCGCCACGAAGTGCATGGGGTGCGGCAAGAAGACGGAGCCCATTGACACGGCGACCAACTCGGCCACCCTGGAGATGGCGGGCACGCATTGGCAGTTGACGGTGGATGACCAGGGCAATGCGGTCTGGACGGCGGCCCGGTCCGCGGGTGCCGAAGGCCCTGACACGGACCGGGCCCGCGACCTCAAGCTCAGTGCCTCGGTGGACGTCAGCGAGCTGGCCACCGACCCGATGGCCTGCGAGAACCCGGACCAGGCCAGCTTCTCGGACTTCGTCCCCTCCTCGGTCCGGGCGGTGATCAGGAACTGCCCCATGGAGCTGGACGAGGAGTTTCTGACGGCCCCACCGGGGGAGAGGCCCCCATTGCCAGG